AAAGGTAATGGAAACTATTATAAGGGATCAGCTATTAGCTTACGTTGAAACACATGGCTTACTGGCAGTTGAACAGCATGGATTCCGACCAGGACGATCCTGCTTAACAAACTTACTGTTAGCTAGGGAAGATTGGGTCGAGGCCAGAGATAAAAACCTTCTGTTGGACGTGGTTTTTATTGATCTTAGCAAGGCATTCGACAAAGTATCCCACTTAGGTCTCCTTAGTAAACTTAAAGGTTTCGGACTAGACCAATGCCTATGTGAGTGGTTTAGGGATTACCTAATGGATAGAAGGCAGAAGGTTAGGGTTAACGGTGTACTATCAGGGTGGAAAGCAGTATCCAGTGGAGTGCCCCAGGGAACTGTATTAGGCCCCTTGCTATTCCTATTATACGTTAATGAGCTACCAGGGATTCTTACTTCATCTTCATTGTTATTTGCAGACGACATTAAGATATGGAAAACTGTGAACAATAGCGAGGATAGGTCGGCCCTACAAACTGATCTAGATAAATTAGCGGAGTGGTCGAACCTGTGGAGTTTGAAAATGAATTCTAGGAAAAGCGCAGTAATGCACTTAGGTCAGAAGTCTTATACGTCGTACTCCCTAGGGGACACAGAACTACCTGATGTTAACGAACAGAAGGACCTAGGAATCATTGTCAGCAATGATTTGAAAACAACTGCAAACTGCAATGCAGCCGCAGCTAAGGCTTTTCGAATGCTATGGGCACTCCGTAGGGCTTTCAAACGATTAGATGAGGGCATGTTCCAAATACTCTACGCAACATATGTTAGGCCTCATCTAGAATACTGCGTACAAGCGGCGGGTCCATGCTTCAAAAAGGAGGCATATATCCTGGAAAGAGTACAGAGAGTAGGAACGAAACTAGTTAGTGGTATATCACACCTTCCTTATGATAAGAGGATGGAGCATCTAAATCTCTTTCCGTTATCATACCGAAGGAAGAGAGGCGACCTAATTTTGGCTTACCGTATACTTAAGGGTGACTTAGGAACTGACCTTTCTAAACTTTTCTCTCCTTCTAGGATACATTTACGGGGTCACCGCAAAAAGGTGCTCAAACCGAGGACGATTAAAATACGTGCAGAATTTAGATTCTCTCATAGAGTGGTCAACGACTGGAACTCCTTACCTGATTCAGTAGTAACAGCTCCATCGGTGAACGCTTTCAAAGAGAAGTTAGATCTCTGCAGAGATATATTTTGCAAGGATTAACACAGGCCACAAGAGCCTTCTATCCTTATCAACTGAATCTGAATCTGAAATGTCTAGACGTCAAAGTGAAAGAAGATGGTGTAATGTATTTTGTGCATTACCAAGGTTGGAATAAAAAGTAATAATATTTCAGTATTAATTTACGTTTTGATATAGCTGGGATGAATGGGTGACAGAGAAACGTATGTTCAAGTATAATGAAGAGGGTTTGAGAAAACAAAAAGAACTAGAGCGACAAATGTAACTTGTGTGAAGCAATGTTTCTGATCATGATGCTTCTTGTAATTTTCAGAAAATCGGGGAAAGTTAAAGTTTTGAGAAAGTCCGACTTGAAGTCACAATCATTGCCACCTCCAGAAGTCCTGGAGGACGTGGAACGGACATTGAAGCCTGGTGAAGTGAAACAAGGTGAGATATTACCCGGTTATGTACTAAGTGCCGCTATAGAGGAAGATGCTCCTAAGGCCAAGAATATAAAAACCAACGGAGAAAACAGCCGGAAAACTGATGCTTGTGTGCCTGCAGAAGTGAATGAGAGTGAAGATACTAAACCAGCCATTAAGTGTTGTGAAGATTCATACACACCATCTACTCAACCTGTCACAGTATCAAGTAGGAGAAGGAAAGGCCGAGTGTCATCAATGCTAAAGTCTCTTGAAAATGCAAGTATTGTGACACAATTTTTCATTCTATGCGATTTAAATTTGTTTTTCCGAGATAGTTTGTACTTTGGTATTGTGATTCATTGTGTGAGATGTAAAAAATTCCTCTTTGGAGGAGATAATAAAGTAGCAGCGTTGTGTCAAATGACAATTTTAAGTCGATATTTGTGTTATCTAGCTCATTCGAAACGTATTTTAACACTGTGACCACTAGTCCTCATGAGATTGTCCTCATGCGAACAAATTCACTTTCCTTAACTGTCCTCTGGTTTTCAAGTCCTCTTAGAAAGTTGTTCATGAAACTGAATATTTCTTTGAGCTAAAGCTGTGTTTCAAATCAAGATAATAAAGATAGAAAGCTCTTGTAGTCTGTGTTAATCCTTGAAATATACATCTCTGCAGAAATCTAATTTCTCTCTTTGAAAGCGTTCACCGATGGAGCTGTTACTACTGAATCAGGTAAGGAGTTGCAATTGTTGACCATTCTGTGAGAGAATCTAAATTGAATTGTAGATGTATTTTTATTCGACCTAGGTCTGAGCACATTTTTGCGGTGAAGACTATGAATTCCTAAATCATCCTTTAATGTACGGTATGCCGAAATTAAGTCACCTCTCCTCCTCCTCCTCCTTCGGTATGATAATGGAAAGAGATTTAAATGCCCCATCGTCTTGTCATAAGGAAGGTTTGAGGTACCACTAATTAATTTAGTTCCTACCCTCTGTACTCTTTCTAGGATATGTGCCCTCTTTTTGAAGCATGAAATCACCGCTTGTATGCAGTATTCCAGTTGAGGCCTGACATAGAGTACTTGCATAGAGTACTTAGAACAAAGACTCGTCTTATCGTTTGAAAGCCCTTCAAAGTACTCATAGCATTCTAGTATTAGCTGCAGCTCGATTACAATTTTCGGTTGTTTTTGCGTCATGGCTTACAATAATTCCTAAGTCGTTTTGTCCCTTAGCATCTGGCAGTTCTTTGTTCCCCAGGGGGTACGATGTGTGGCCAAGTTAAACTTTAAGCACCACTAATTAGATGGAAGGATTGTCGTGAAGTATATAAGTGACGTTTCAGATAGAAGTGGCTTGAAGGATTAGAACGTGTTGGATATGGTGACCTGGAAGATGTCTGGCGAACTTGTGTATGACCCATGGAGTAGCATGTTGACAAGAAACTGAGCGGGCTTGTAAGTGTTGGGAGCAAAAGCATTATTTTTTTTATATGTATGTATTCATACTCTCAACTTTACCGTTATATTTTTCACTGTTTTTCATATATCAGGAAGATGGCCTTCTCTCTCAGCCTCGTTTATCGATGTCACTGCCTCCATCTTTGAAATCTTGGCTTATCGATGATTGGGATTTGATTACTCGTCAAGCTCGGGTAAGTAATCTTCAGTTGCGTTATATCATCCAGTCAGTAAAGCAATTTCCAATTTTTGAGCGTTGGTCGAAATTTGTTAACTTAGTGATCAATTTAGTCACTTAGATGTTACAAAGTATGTACCTTGGCTCACCTTGGTTCCGGGTGATCAGGAATGTTCTCATCTTGAGTGTTGGTTGGCTCGCCACCGTTGCATCTCGATGGGTTGAAAATCGCAGTGAACCCTAGTCGAGAGTGCATTCGGATGTGTAGTAGTTTTTGTTACAGGGAGAAACCTTGCGACCCTTCCTTTCATCCATCGTTCAGAGAATTCAACGATGTATCAAAATTCCATTATAATTATTGTTATTATTTGAACAAAGCAAGAACAACAGTGGTTATTGCAGAATAAAGTGACTGGTACCATCTTCTATTTCGTTGCCTTCTCGTCAGCTGCTTACACGCCAAAGACATTAAGTAGTATATCTACAAAAACAATTTTAACATACTTGCGCAGAGGTCATCTGTTTTATCTCATCATTTAGGTCTTTTCTTGTGCTACTGCTTGGTTTGTTAGACACTTAAACTAAGCCTGACTTAACAGACAGATAACGGATGAGACGAATTGAAGTCTAAACATCTATGAGGAGAATGCGTTGGCGTTTTATAAACGCCGCTAGTGTGAAGTTTACCGTCTTCTATTCGTTTTATTTTACAATCTAACATCATAAAAGCTAATTCTGCTTGTTTATTTACCGATTCAAATGTGAATTTTATTCCCTCTACTAGTGAGTTTATGTGTGTGTGTCAAGAAGCTAGAGGTTTTTCCTTCTAAAAATTATTTTTTCTTCGGTTAAATTTTCACAGCTTTATGAACTGCCTGCCTCTCAGCCAATATGTAATGTTTTATCAGACTTCTTAGAAGCTTCTGAGGCTGAAATTAGTCAGAAGTCAGAATCAACTGGTGAAACAAAAGAAGAGTGTACTTCTTCTGAATCGCAGAACTCTCAGCTAACTACTACTACTACTACTACTACTACTAAGTTGCCAATAAACGCGGGTGTACGGCGTGAATTTGTTGCCGGAATTCAGCATTTTTTCAATCTTACTATTGGTTCTCATCTTTTATACAAATTTGAACGATTACAATATGCTGAGCTATTGAAACATCATACAGATAAGAGAATGTCAGATATTTATGGTTCAATTCATTTGTTAAGGTTGTTTGGTAAGTCGTCTTAATATTCCCTTTAATATATTTGTGTGCACTGTGGTGGTGGCAGTAAGTGATTCCATATTAGTTTTTTTATTAGATGGATGTATCACACACAGTCAGTCAGTGAGTGAAACAGTGTTAGTATTTACTGGATGACAAAGTTGTTTCGAACACAATTCATTATTGTTCATAATCATATCACCAATTATAATCACACGACTTCGAAACTTGAGTCTGATAGTTTTCTTTGTCCTCTCATATTTGTTGTCGTCTTTGGGGTAGTAGAATTTTCCAGATATTGGGGTGGACAGGTGTTGAATCATTCCTGTTACATGTATTTGCCACCCCAAATGTGTGGTGGAGGTGTATGTAGATGACACATTCATTCATTGTACTTAGAACAGAGGGTATAGATAGATTTTTCGAACACATTATAACTCAAAGGTGGAGGCAATTCAATTCACTTATGATGAATTGGAAAGTCAGGAAGCCGGGGAGCTTCCAATGTTAGATTGTAGCGTAAAAGGGAAAGAAGATGGGAAGTAAAACAGTGTTAACAGGGAACCCACACATTCAAACAGATATTTAGGCTTCCGATCATCCCATCCTATGTTAGGGAAAATAGGATTGGTGAAATGTCTAAGTGACAACAGAGCACAAAAACTAAGTAAAACCAAGGAAAATCTAAGACAGGAAGTGATACACATAAAAGATGCCCTGAAACTTAATAATTACTCGGATAAATTAGTCAAGAAATATGTAAGAAAATGTAAAAATAAAATAAATAATTATAGTAGTGATAGCGATAATTAATAATGATAATAATAATGTTAATGACGACATGCAAGTCAAACATGCGCAAGACAACACCAACAATAAGGAGTCTAAATCATCAGTAGTAATTCCATACAAGGAAAGAACCTTGGAAACCACCAGAATTCTTAACAAGGCTGACAGGAATAAAAGTGGCCGGAATTCAACCCCTCCCTACAAACTCTATTAGAAACAAGCTTTGTCGGTTGAAGGATCAATCCTGTGGAGCCGTTAAAACAAAACAATTTAGTTTATCTAATACCCTGTCTGCAATGATTGTCAGGTCAAATACATAGGTGAAAGTAGTAGAACAGGGTCAGTGAGTGAGACTAGCTGAGCAGCATAAAAACCTAGCAGCAAAATCTAGGTAAGGTAAATAAGATAAGAAATCTAGAGAATAGTTCAGCTATAGCACTCATTACATGGAATTACACACAACCATACAATAACCTAGATGGGATAGGATGACAGTTTTAAAATCTAATGTCACAGGGTGAATAGAGGGAGGGAGAGATTGATAACAGAAACTTTGTTTATCGAATCAACTGCAAATACATGTAACAGGAATGATTCAACACCTGTTCAGCCAGATATATGGGAAATTCTACTACCCTAATGACGACGACAAATAGGAGGCGAAAAAGAAAACTATCAAACTGAAGTTTCGAAGTCGTGTTATTATAATTGGTGATATGATTATGAACCACAATAATGAATTGTGTTCGAAACAACTTTGTCATCCAGTAAATACTAGTACTGTTTCACTCACTGACTGACTGTGTGTGTGATACATCCATCTAATAAACAAACTAATATGGATTCAATGTTGTTCCTTACTGTATGATATTTTTAAAGAACTCAGCTGTGTGTATTTTGAGTGATTTTTTGGTTTCACTGCATTAGCTGTGAATTTGCTTTTTTTAGAACAACAAATACATTTCGAAATCTAAGGAAGTAGTAGTTTCTAAAAAGTTGAAAAAAACGAACAAACTGTGATTATTTATTGATGGGCTGACAGTTTGTTTCTTAATCTCAAAATAATGCTCAGCATGAGAAAGTATAAGTGACAAGTAAAATAGAATATCACTGTTTATAGATATGGTTTTGTTGATACAAGTGTTATTATCAAA